AATGACATGGATGGAACTAGAGAGTATTATGCTAGGTGAAATAAGTCAGTAAACGACAAATACCATACAATTTCACTCGTGTGGAATTTATGCAACAAAACATGAACATAGTGGGGGAAAAAGGAGAGGCAGATCATAAGCAGACTCTTAACTATAGAGAACAAACAGGGTTGCTGAAGGGGAGGTGGGTGAGGGGATGGGCTAAATGGATGATGGGTATTAAGGAGGGCACTTGTTGTGATGAGCACTGGATATTGTATGTAAGTGTTGAATCACTAAATTCTATACCTGAAACTAATATTACACTATATGTTAACTAACTGGAATTCAAATAAAAACTTGAAAAAAAATAAACCAATATCCAGCAATATGCTTTTCATAAGAGTCTCACTTTATTTTTTTTTTAAGTTTATTTATTTTTAGAGAGCGAGCATGCATGTGAACGAGTGAAGGAGGGGGAGAGAAAGGAGAGAGAGAATCCCAAGCAGGCTCTGCACTGTCAGCACAGAGCCCAATGCTGGGATTGAACTCATGAACGGTGAGAGATCATGACCTGAGCTGAAGTCAGGAGTCAGATGCTCAACCAACTGAGCCACCCAGGTGCCCCAAGTCTCACTTTAGATTTAAGGGCACACAGAGGTTGAAAATGTAAGACTGGAAAAAAAGTATTCCCTGAAAATGGTATCCAAAAGAAACCAGGTGGCTGTATTTATATCAGGAAAAAAATAAACTTTAAGTCAAAAAATCTCTATGGCAAAGAAGGTCATATCATAATGATAAAATGGTCAGTTCGGTGGGAATATTTAACAATTATAAATATAAGTGTACCCAACATTTGAGGACCTAAATACATCAAGCAAATACTTACAGATCTGGAGAGAAATTGACAGCAATACAATAATACTGGGAAGACTTCAACCCCACGTTCAATAATAGAATACTAGACAAGAATTAATGAACAGTTGACTTGACGAATGCTATAGACCAAATAGACCTTACAGACATGTTCAGGAGTTTCTACCCAACAACAGAAGAATATACATTCTTCTCAAGTGCACACAGAACATTCTCCTGGATAGATCACATCTTAGATGACAATACAAAAGTTAACAAATTTAAGAAGATTGAAATTATCCTGGGTATCTTTTTCAACTTCAGTTGGATGAAATTAGAAATCAATAACAGTAGGAAAATGGGAGTATTCACAAATAGTTGAAAACAAAACAGTACACGATTAAACAACACTGGATCACAAAGGATATCAGAAGGGAATTTAAAAAGCATCTTAAGACAAATTAAAACAAAAACACAACACACCAAAACTTATATGATGCTACAAAAAGGAAGGAGGAACATTTAAGATGCTAGGAGGGAAGTTTATTGTGATAAATGCTGACATAAAAAACAAATTTCTCAAACATCCTAACTTTATAACTCAAGGAACTGGGAAAAGAACACAGTAAACCCAAAATTAGCAGAAGAAAAGAAATAATAAAGATTAGAGCAGAAATAACAGAAAATGATAGAAAAATCAATAAAACTAAGTTTTGTGGGACACCTGGGTGGCTCAGTCAGTTAAGCGTCCAACTTTGGCTCAGGTCATGATCTTGCAGTCGTGGGTTCAAGCCCCACGTCAGGCTCGGTGCTGACAGCTCAGAGCCTGGAGCCTGCTTTGGATTTGTGTCTCCCTTTCTCTCTCTGCCCCTCCCCAACATGTGCTGTATCTCTGTCTCTCAAAAATAAATGAACGTTAAAATATTTTTTTTAAAAAACTGAGTTTTGTGTGAAGAGATTTAAAAAATTAATAAGCCCTTAACTAGACTTACTAAGAAAGAAGAAAGAAGACTCAAAATTAGAAGGAAAGAGGAGACATTACAATAGCTACCTCAAAAATGAAAAGGATCCTAAGGGACTACTATGACCAACTATATGCGAACAAATTGGATACCCTAGAAGAAATGAATAAATTCCTAGGAACATGCAGCCTATCAAAACTGAATTAAGAAATAGAAAACCTGAACAAACAAAAATAACTTCCAACAACAACGAAAACCTCAATACCAGATTTCTTTCAAAGAAGAATTAATACTAATCTGCCTTCTTTTTTTAAAAAAAATACACAACTTTTATTGCATCTTTAAAACATCACAAATAAGTCAGAGGTATCTGACATCTTGCTGTTTCTATAGCTGGACAGCTTAGATCTGGTCAGCTTGCTGAACTGTTCCTTTTTCAGAAACAGATCCCATCCAAAAATTTTATGATATCCTTGTTTTTAGCTGTTGTGGCTTACTGAAAAAATTTGATACAAGTTCAGTGTTGTTTCCTTTAGGAATTAACTCATCATTCTGGGCTTCAGATACTAAACAAGCCATGGCAGGCCTCATCCAAACCCTGTGAATGTATTTTTTGACCATAAAACTTTGGAATTCAGCAAGAGAACCATTGTCCTGAATAATGACATTGATGGGAAAGTGAGCATACACAGACCTCATATTAGAATTGAAGTCCAGTGTACCACCCTGATCATGTTCTGTACATTGCTACAGGTAGTACAAATAGTGGGTAGTTCCTTTCTATTTTCCCACCATTTGTCAAACTGGAACCCCTTTTTCTTTTCAAAAAGACTGAGTCCTACACTGATGTGGTTGAAGTCCACCTGCATGGTTCCTCTGGGGATCTTCACAAAAACAATGCTTCAGGTAACACTTCAGAGTGATGTCAGCACTTTCTGAAATGTTGGTAGTTTGATTGCTGAGAATAGTCTTCATTGTCAAAGTAGATGCAGAAAAAAACAAAACAAAACAAAAAACTAATCCTTCTTAAACTCTTCAATAAGCAGAAGAGGGTATGCTTTCAAACTCATGTGATGAGGACAGCATTACCCTGCTACTACACCAGACAACATCACTGCAAGAAAAGAAAACTACAGCTCAGTATCAATGAGGAACATAGTTGCAAAAGTCCTCAGCAGAATACTAGCAAACCAAATTCAACAGCACATCAAAGGATCATTCAACATGAACAAGTGAGATTTATTCCTGGAATACGGGAATATTTCAATGTAAACAAATCAATGCGATGTATCACATTAACAAAATTAAAGAAAAAACGTGATTAAACACTTAAGAAACTTAAAACAGAAATAAACACTTAAAACACTCATAATGAAATCCCTTTTAAAAATAGGTATAGAGGAAACTTATTTCAACATAATGAAGGCCATATCTGACAAACCCATAGGTAGTGTCATAATGGGGAAATACTTAAAGATTTCTCTCCAAAATCAGGTGCAAGAATGGACATTCTTCCCACTTCAATTCAACATAGTACCAGAAGTCCTAGCCAGAACAATTAAACTAGATAGATAGATAGATAGATAGATAGATAAATTGAATCAAATCTGAAAAGAAGTGAAATGGTCTCTGTTTGCATATGGCATGGTCTTACATATAGAAAGCCTGAAAAACCATGCCCCTCAAAACCTGTTAGAACTAATAAATGAATTCAGGGAAGTTGCAAGAAACAAAATCAACATAAAAAAGTCATGTTTCTGTACACAAACAACAAGGTATCTGAAAAGGAAATCAGGAAAACATCCCATTCACGTTAGCAACAAAAACAATAAAATACTGAGGAATAAATTTAACCAAAGGGGTGAAAGGCTCATACACTAAGAATTGTGAAACAATGATGAAGTAAATTAAAGACAACATAAATAGGGGCGCCTGGGTGGCTCTGTCAGTTAAGCATCCGACTTCGGCTCAGGTCATGATCTCGCTGTTCACAAGTTCAAACCTCGCGTCAGGCCCTGTGCGGACAGCTCAGAGCCTGGAACCTGCTTCGGGTTCTGTGTCTCCCTCTCTCTCTGCTCCTCCCCTGCTCACGCTCTGTCTCTGTCTCTCTCTCTCTCTCTCAAAAATAAATAAATAAACATGAAAAAAATTTTTTTTAAATAAAGACAACATAAATAAATGCAAACACATTCCACGTTCATGGATTAGAAAAATTAATATTGTTAAAATGTCTGTACTGCCCATAGTGATCCACAGATTCATTACAGTCCCTGTCAAAATCCTAATGATATTTATAGAAATAGAAGGAAAAAAAATACAGTCCTAAATTTTATACAGAACCATGAAAATCCCCAAATGACCAAAGCAATCTTGAATGAGAAGAGCAAAGCTAGTAACATCACACTATAGTAATCAAACTGTATGATACTGACATAAGAGTAAACATATAGACCATGGAACAAAATCCAGAGTCTAAATAGAAATCCATGCCTCTACAGTCAACTGATCTTCCCCAACGGTACCAAGAACACCTGATGGAGAAAGGATAGTCTCCTCAATAAATGATGCTAGGAAAACTGGATATCTACATTCCTAAGAATGAAATTGGACCTTTATCTTACATCATACATTAAAAAAAATAACTCAAAATGGATTAAGGGCTTAAACGTAAGACCTGAAACTATAAAACTTGTTGAAGAAGACATAAGGGAAAATCTTCTTGACATTGGACTCGGCAATGATTTTTTTTTAATCTGACACCAAAAGCACAGATAACAAAAGCAAAAATGAGTGAGACTACATCAAACTAAAACACAAGCTTTGTAGTATTCTGCACAACAAAGGTAACCATCAACAAAATGAACAGGCAGCCTACAAAGTGGGAGGGAATATTTGCAAACCATATACTCAATAAGAGGTTAATACAAAAACAAAACTCATGGAACTCAATAGCAAAAAAAAAAAAAAAAGGCAAAGGACCCAAATAGACATTTTTCCAAAGAAAACCTACAAATAGCTAATAGACACATGAAAAGCTGCTCAACATCAGTAATCATCGAGGAAATGCAAAACCACAGCAAGATATTATTTCACATCTGTTAGAATGGCTATTCCCAAAAAGATAAGATAAAAAGTATAAGTGAGAATGTGAAAAAAAGGGAACCCTTGTACTACATTGATGGAAATGTAAATTCGTTTAGCCATTTTGGAAAACAATGTGCAGATTCTTCAAAAAATAAAAATAGAACTACCATATGACCCAGCAATCCCACTTCTGGGTACATATCCAGGGAAATGAAATTAGTGTCTCAAAGGGATATCTGCACTCCAATGTTCATTGTAGTGTTATTTACAATAGCCAAGGTGTGGAAATAATTTAAAAGTCCATTGATAGATAAATGGATAAATAAAATATGTTGCATGTATCTACAATGGAACATTCTTCAGTCATTAAAAAAGAATGAAGTCCTCACATTTGTGGTAACATGGATGAACCCAGAGCACATTATGCTACATGAAATAAGCTAGTCATAAAAAGGTAGATACTGTATGAACTCATATATATGTGGAAATCTTTAAAAGTTGAACTCCTGGAAGCTGAGAGTAGATTGGTGGTTGACAGGGGCTGGTACAGAGGCTAAAGCATAAGAATGCCGCAGCCATGCTTTAAAAAAATGGTGGAAAGGCATTCCAGAAATAGAAAACATAAAGGGTGAATACTTGAAGGTAGGAAGGGATCTGGAGTATATGAAGAAGAGAAGAGAAGGCCAATGTGGCTGAAGCATAGTCAGGGAGAGGGCAGATGATAGGAGATGAGGTTAGAGAAATAGGGAAAAGTTGGATCATGCAGGCCTGTGTAGGTTATGGCAAAGAAAGTCCAGGAATAATGATGAGACCTTGACAGAGGAGTGACATCATCCCATTTACATATACAAACCTTGTAGAAGGCAGGATGACTGAAATAATTTAGGTGAACAATGATGGTTATGACTTGGGGGTAGCTGTGTACATAGAAGGGAACGAATCCCAGTTTATTATGGAGGTAGCACTGACTGTACTTGATGGTGAGTTTGATGTGGTAGATATAGGAAAGGGAAGAAATAAAGTAGATTAAGACATTAGTTTCAGCAAGTGGGTGCCATCTGCTAATCTGGGGAAGACTCAAGGACTGACAGATGCTTTTTTGCTGATAAAGTATACACTCAGGTTTGGATGTACTAAGTTTAGAAGCTTATTAGCAGCCATGTAGAGTTGCCAAGGGAGCAGTTAATTAAAAGTAATGTTAACTTAGGAGAAACATCAAAGACAAATGGAATTTGGGAGTCCTTAGTGTATTGGTTGATTTAAAAGCCATGAAAGGGGCGCCTGCATGACTCGGTTGGTTAAGTGTCCGACTTCGACTCAGGTCATGATCTCATGGCTGGTGGGTTCTGGCCTGTGTTGAGCTCTGTGCTGACAGCTTGGAGCCTGAAGCCTGCTTAAGATTCTGTGTCTTGGTCTTTCTCTGCCCCTCCCTGACTCACGCTCCCTCTCTCTCCCTCCCTCCCTCTCTCACTCTCAAAAATAAACATTAAAAAATAATAAAAGCCATAAAAGTGGTTGAGATCATTGTATCATTTAGGAAAGGAAGATTTTTTTAATCAGCTCTTGAGTCACCCCAACTTCATTCATTTATTCAACACACATTTTTTTTAAGTAGGTTTCATGCCCAGCAGGGAGCCCAGTGTGAGGCTTGAACTCATGACCCTGAGATCAAGACCTGAGCTGAGACTGAGATTTGAACACTGAGCCACCCAGGTGCCCCATATCCAACATGTATTTGTTGAGCTCCTACTATTCTAGGCACTTTTCTATGGCATTGTAGTTACAGTAGTGAGTAAAGGAAACCAATTATTCGCTTCCATAGGACTTCTACATAGTTAATGATCCAGAAAATAAAGCAATAAGCAATAAATATGTAACTTAATTGTTTAGAGGAGAAGCAGCAGCAAAGGAAGGAGACTATGTGGAGTTGGTCAGTGGGAGGAATGTATTATTTTTCCTACTGGTGATGTCCTGGCAGCTAATGGAGAAGAGTAGTTCAAGAATAAGGAGTTTCCTGAATCAGATGTTGTAAAAACCCCAGTAAGATGGAGACTAAGCTGTGACTATTTCACTTCTTGTGATGACAAAAAACAACAAAACAGTTTTGGGGCTTTGCAAATGAAGAAGTAGAGATAGGAATGAAGACCCGCTGTTTCAAAGGAGTTTGCTATAAAAGAAAGCCAAAAAATGGACCATAACAGTGGGAGAAATGAAATTAAGGAAGTGTTTTAAAAACCAAAAAGATAAAATTCCAGAACATGCTTGTGATTAATGGGAATGACCTAGTAGAGGGAATGAAGGGATAATTGATGGAGTGAAATCCTTGAGAAAATAAGAGGAGACAAGACCCCAGGGTGGGTGGAGGGAATCGCTGATAGGATCAGCATCTTATCTTTCATTGTAACTGGAGGGAAGACAGAAAGGATGGAATGTTTGCAGACAGGTTTGTAAATTTGATGGTGGGGCAGCAAGTGGCATCTGCCCCAATGCTTCTGTTTTTCCAATGAGCCATGAAGCAAGAATGAAATGAAAGGAGTTTGAGAAAAGAGAAGATATGCAATGTCATGTTGCAGGATGGGAAATCAAGTTGCTAAAGAATTCTAGCAGAATTGCTGGGCATTAGAGATCACTCAACATTTATGGCAATAAAATTAACATGAAAGCATCAACCAATTCTATACTTTTTCCCCAACCACTTTCATTTGCTCAATTTCCAGCACAGAGAAGGCATAGAGCTGAATTCATCCAAGGTTGTGCTTTTTCCAGATGAATGCAGTGATTGAAAACAGGATGGAGAAAACTAAGTGTATTAGCAAAGGAATGAAGAGTCCTGAAATGTAAGCTGATGGAGGGAATTGAAAACAGGAAGAATGCCCAGGGGATTGTGAAAGGTTAGAAAAGGGGTATTACTCATTCATCTGGTTTACCCATTCACTTCAACAATTGAGCTTCTATTCTGGGCCCTGTGGATCTATTCACTAGCAAGACTAACCAGCCCTTTCACAGAATAGGGTGAGATGGACAAAGAATTAGAACTTGTATTTTTTTTTCAAATTTTCTTAGTTGACACACAACATTACATTAGTTTCAGGTGTACGGCATAGAGATTCAACAAGTTTATGCACTATGCTATGCTTACTACAAGTTTAACTACCATGTGTCCCGATACAACACTAGGACAGTATCATTGACTATATTCCTTATGCTGAGCCTTTTATTCCCAAGATTTACTCTTTCCATAACTGGAAGCCTGTAGCTGCCATGCCTCTTCCCCTATTTTGCCCAACCACATACCCCCTCTCCTCTGGCAACCACCAGTTTTAAAGTATTAAATTCAGATTTTGCTAATGGCTGTGAAAAGAGTAGAGAGGGTCCGCCTGGGTGGCTCAGTCAGTTCAATGTCCAGCTCTTGATTTCACCTCAGATCCTGATCTTGGAGTCGTGAGATGGGGCGTTCTTTCTCCCTCTGCCCCTCCCTTGTTCACAATTTTGCATTTTCTCTCTTAAAAATTAATGAATCAATCAATAAAGTAGATGAAAGAGAGTGGGGAGAGAGGGAGGATTAAGTGGGAGGGGAAAGCAGTGTCAATTTAGATAAGGTGTTCCAGCAAGGGAATCCTCTCTACTGAAATTGAACAAAGATCTGAATGAAATGAGGAAACAAACCTGTGAATTACTGTGTGAGTAGTGTGCTAGGCTGAGGGAACAGTGAGTGCTTTTTCTGGTTTTTTTTTTAATGTCCAATAGTAAGGCCAACAAAACTGTGATGAAGTATTTTTCCATCCCTATTATATTTTTAAATGGTGTTTTCAGGATACCAAAGTGACACAGCTGGTTTAAGCAGTTGGTTATTGCACAAATGTCATTAGAGTGAGCAATCAGTTAAGTCTCATTTCAGCAGATGAAATGTTTAAATATAAATATACCCTGTAATCATGTCTAATTTGTTTATCATTACCTTCTCCTTCTCTGGTGACTAGCATTAGAATGCCACACATGATATGGTTCAGTTAAAATTTTTAGAGTGAATTTTTATGCCCACATATACTTTAATACTTAAAAACACAAATCATTCCCCCTTCAAACTTTTTCAAGAAGTTCTAAGGGAGGAGTTCAAACAAACCCAAGGTCTCTTCCCTTCGCCCTGGGTGTGTGGGGACTTGCTTTAAATTACTTTTCAAAAAATTTAGGTATTACTCACATGCTGTAAGACTGACCCATTTAAAATATACAATTTGTTACATTAACAACTCAGGTAACAACAGATGTTGGCGAGGATGCAGAGAAAGAGGATCTCTTTGGCACTGCCGGTGGGAATGCAAACTGGTGCAGCCACTCTGGAAAACAGTGTGGAGGTTCCTCAAAAAATTAAAAATAGAACTACCCTACCACCAAGCAATTGCACTACTAGGTGTTTATCCAAGGGATACAGGTGTGCTGTTTCCAAGGGACACATGCACCCCAATGTTTATAGCAGTACTATTGACAATAACCCAAGTATGGAAAGAGCCCAAATGTCCATCGATGGATGAATGGATAAAGAAGATGTGGTATATATATACAATGGAGTATTTCTTGGCCATCCAAAAGAATGAAATCTTGCCATTTGCAACTACATGGATGGAAGTAGAGGGTATTATGCTAAGCGAAATTAGTCAGAGAAAGACAAATATCATAAGACTTTAAGATACAAAACATGAACATAGGGGAAGGGAAGCAAAAATAATAAAGGGAGGGGAGCAAAACATAAGAGACTCTTAAATATGGAGAACAAACAGAGGGTTGCTGGAGGGCTTGTGGGAGGGGGGAAATGGGCTAAATGGGTAAGGGGCATTAAGGAATCTACTCCTGAAATCATTGTTGCACTATATGCTAACTAACTTGGATGTAAATTAAAATATACAATTTATTGGTTTTTAGGATGTTCACAGTGTTGGGCGACCATTACCTAATTCTAGAACATTTTTTTAATATTTATTTATTTTTGAGAGACAGAGATCATGAGCAGGGGAGGGGCAGGGAGAGAGAGGGAGACACAGAATCCAAAGCAGGCTCCAGGCTCCAAGCTGTCAGCACAGAGCCCAACGTGGGGCTCAAACTCATGAACTGTGAGATCATGACCTGAGCCGAAGTTGGACACTCAACTGACTGAGCCACTCAGGCACCCCTAGAACATTTTTAACACCCTAAAAAGAAACTCATATAGACTGGTCCCATTAGGAATCACTTCCCTCCTTCTAGCCCCCAGCAACCATAATCTACACTCTGTCACTATTTGCCTATTCCAGATGTTTAAAATATATGTAATCACACAGTATGTGTCCTTTTATGCTTGGCTTCTTAGCATGATGTTTTCAAGGTTAATCTGTGTCTAGCCAGTATCCATACTTCAGTCCTCTTTATAGCTGAATGATATTCCATTGTGTGGATATACCATATTTTCTTTATCCATTTATCATGTGATTTGGGTTGTTTCCACTTTTTGGTTTTTATAAATAATTCTGGCTATGAGTGTTGGTCTACAAGTTTTTGTGTGGACATTTGTTTTTAATTCTCTTAGGTATATGCCTGCCAGTGTAAATGGCTTTTTTAAAGTAAGCATAACTGTAAAAAAGTTTTATCTTAAAAATATTTCTCACTTCACTCCATAATATATCTGTCTTAAAAGAATACACAGGAAAAACAAACAAAAAAAGAATACATGGAGTTCTTTCCAGTTACTTATTTAAGCTACTAGTGGAATTCATTAATTTTTCTCCAGAAATCCAACATTAGCCCTGTGGGAGGTGTTCCCTCTGTGGCTCTGCAGCCCCCTGGCTCACTGCCCCCTACATGGGGGGGGGGGGAGGGGGGACCAGCGCTTCAGCAGCAATCTCATGGGACATTGGGAATGCAACTCCAGACAGGTGGTGGGTTACCTTTTTGTCAATAAATATTGCTTCTTCTTGAAAGAATCATAGAATCTTGATAAACTAGAAAAGTTTCTCGGAATTCACCTAATCCAATTGTTTTATAAATCTTCGAACAAAGGGATGTCCAAAAGGTTAAAATGCTTGCCTGAGTTCCTATAGCCGGTTGGTTAGGAAACCAGGATGAGAAACCAGATCTCTTGACTGCCAGTTCAGTTCTCTGAGTACTAAATTTTACTTTGTCTCTGTTGTTTGAATTTAAAGTCCTAAAACAAAAAAATAAACATAATTCATTAAGCGGCATTTTCAGGTAA